TCCAGTTCATCTGGAGAATGCTAATATGTTCCAGTTTCATGGAGCCACATGGGTTACAGAATAGAACTGCTCCAGTAGGTTTTCTTGGTTGTGAACTTTATGGAAGCAGATCACCAGGCATACATTTTTTTCTGGGGTGCCGCTAGGTGGGTTTGAACCACCAACCTTTAGGCTAGTCTCAAAACGCCCCTCAAACTCAAACTCATTGTTGTCGAGTTGGAACTCACAGCTGACCCTCGATTAAGCTCCTAAATGAAAAAGCGCAGGAAGAGAGTTTCCATCTTTCTCCTATGGAGCCATCGGTGAATTTGAACCATCAGAGAGGTGCATCCTTTGGGTTGGCAGCAGTCCATCCTATGGACTAGACCACCAAAGGTCTTTTAAGCTATATACTGTCGTTCTTGTGTGCTGTAAAGTTGGAACTGACGCTAGCAGATTTTCAGAGGCTGTAAATGACACAGGAGGAGACTGCCCATCTTTCTCCCACTGAGCAGCTGCTGGATTTGAACCACTTGCCTTAGGATTGGCAGTGCAACTCCTTACCACTAAGCCACACTTAGGCTAGTAGTTGAGCACAACCTGGGCCACTCAGGGATCTCTGAATTAGTTCATGCTCATAAAAGGCTTAGGGTGGTACCAAAGGCACCATAAAAGCACAGTAAATGCTTTCATTGTCATTAATTGAGCTTTGGCTGTGTGTCAGGTACTAAGAGAACACAAATCAATGAAAGAGTCTGCAGGGCTCATAGTCTGGAAAAGAGACAGCAACTGTGTACTCACAAAGCAGAGAGACATGTGCTATAACAGAGTGTGGCTGTGAAAACAAGACAGCAGTACGACTGCCTCCACCACAGGAGGGATCTCATTTTGTCTGGCAGTGCCAGCCTAGAGGTTCAGGAAGGCCTGTCCTGGATGGATGAAACAGTGCTTCCATAACTTGGGTGCATTTACTATGAGGACTCCACAAAGATGGGAGGGACATGTAGAGGCTGAAAGACTCAGGATGCAAAAACTGCTAGCTCTGCAGAATGCTGTGCAGGAACCTAGGGAGAAAAGTAACGGATCAATGAAAAGTCCTTCCCTTGGGTTCACAGAATCAATCGTGCAAATATAGAATCAGTGGGAGGAGGGAGGCAGGCAGCTTAAAAGCCTTTGGTGAATAGAGCTCTTAACACTGTTAGCTTGACCACAAGTGCATGATGGGTCGATTCCTTCCTGGGTTGTGTTAAAAGAAAAAAAAAATGTAGAAAGGGTCATGATGAGCCTGGAAAGGACAGTCGGAAGAGGCACCGTCCTTGTCCCTAGACTTTAGAAACGCACAATCATGACAGGAAGGTGGAAGTTACCAGAAATCAGATTGGGCCTGGTGAGAACACAGTGCTTATTAGAGATGGATTAGGGCTGTCTTGTGAGTGCTGACTTTCCTGTTACCAGGTTGTTTTGAGAGCATCCCTTCTTTGCAATGTAACCAAGACAGCTGTGATGAGAAAGCGCACACCCTTCAGGTCCTGAATGCAGGCCAGGCACGAAGCAGTTGTTCATGTGTGATCCCAAATGAGTCACTTCCCCTCTCTGATCCTGTTTCCCTCCACTGACAAACAGGCTCTGCAGACCTGAGGGAGTGTTCGTACTGCACTGAAAGTCCCTGCTGTTGGTCACATTGCTGGCTCACCCTGAAGCTCACCTATATCCCAGCCCAAGGCTCCAGCCTGTGTCAATCTGTATGACTCACATGCTTCCTGCTTCTGCCCAACCTATAGGAGGGCATATCCTCATCATTTACAGGCTCCAAAAACTTCAGGGGGGTCAGCTATGAGTCGGTTCTGAATCCATGGCAATGACTATGAGTTCTGAGAGTTTAAACCAATCAAGATTTATCCCCTGGGAGACAGGAAGTATTTTTATTTAAACAAAATTGAGTTGGTATGAGCTGGCAGTGGGAGTGGCTACTGTGTAGGCACCCACAATCCTGCCACACTTGCTGTTAGGTGCTGTGGAGTTAATTTTCCACTCACAGCCACTCCCCCACTGACAGAACTGCCTCATAGTCTCCTGGCTGAAACCTGTGAGAGGAGACTCTTAGGTCTTTCTCCTGGAAAGCTGCTGGGTGGATTCACACTATCCTTTCATGTAGCAAATGTTTAACTATCACTGCACACGTTAGCAGAGCCCTGTGCTAGACACAGCTTTGTCCTGCCCCCAGCATCATCACCACCTTGTGTATGTCTGTGACTAAATGTGAAAGACTTAGGAGCGCAACAGGGGGAGGCCCGGTGCAGGCTCCCTCCGTGGCCAGGGGATGTGCTCATTTTTAATTTGCTTTTCATGTGGCCTAATTAGTGTAGTGCTCCAGGTGTGGTATTTTCAATGGGCAGTTTCCAGGTAATAATAACAAAGGCCAGAAAACAGCTTTTTCTAAGCTGAGCTTCCCTTCACTTCTCCCTCTGTAGTGATTGTGGGAGCTGAAGAAAGAGGTCTGAGGAAGCACAGAGAGTTGGGCTCAGTGTGGTGGGCACACGAGTGTCTCTTCACTGCCCCAAGTGCACCTGACACCAAATGTCAGGATCTGTGAGCATCCAACACTGATGACAGTCTCCCTCTCTTAAAATTTTAAGTGGGAACCTGGAAATGGTATTCCAATAACTCGCTAACTCATTCATTTGATGTTTACTGAGCACCTACTGGGGGCATGGGCCATAGGGAATTGTATTACAAGCCCAACAGTGGCAAATCCACCAGCAGTTTCTAGCTCCTCCTGTGCGATTTCCAGCCTCAGAAAGCCTGCTGCAGCATGCCGACTGGCTGGCTGAGGACCAGCTCTGCAAGGTGCTGGGGACCAAATAGTGAGCGTGACAGGTAAGTAAGATCATGACTCTCAATGATCTGCTAGCTGGCAGATAAACAATAGCAACAGTACATACTGAGGGTTTCTTCCCCTTCAAATCTCTGAATGCCAGACTTTGCCTGTCAAAAAGATGATACAAACTTTCCCCAGAGAGAGGCCTCACTATATCTTCCCTTCCTTGGCCTCCAACCCAACAAAGGTTCATCATTTACAAGTCTGTTTGAGGGTTCCTCTTTATGAAACCTCCCCTGAACACAGGCAAGTTTATCACACCTATAAAATAAAAAAGAAGAGTAAACAAGAATATGTATACAAGATGTGCTATAAGCATTCAATAAACAGTAGCTATTATTTTATATTGCTGTTTGATCTTAGGCAAGTTACTGTCTCTTTGGTGGCCTACTGGTAGGGAGTTGTGCCGCCAACACCAAGGCACCTGGTTTGAATCTACCAATTGCTCCATAGAAGAAAGATGGGCAATCTTTATTTTCTGTCTTTGAAACCGCTGGAGGATCAACAGTCGGCTCTGACTCAATGGCCCATAAGAAAATGATAAGAGTAAATTAAAATTTATTGAGATCATATTGAGCCACCTCATTAATTCATACAATACCATACCTATTATTGTCCTCATTTGCCATAGAGTAAATAAGGCAAAGTAGGATTAAGCAACTTGCCCAAGGTCACTCAGCTATAGCAACTGGTAGCACTTGTATTTGAACTGAAGTAGCTGGCTCCAGGTCCTATGCACTTATTTCCATGCTTACGCTGCCTTTCATTATGATGAAACTGTAATAAGATAGCACCTACCAAGAGGAAGGCACAGGGCTTGGCATGTGGTAGGTACTCAATAAATACCAGAAACAGAATTACAAAGCTTCTACATCCAAGATGGGGAGTGAATCACCAAAAGACTTTACTACGATGTTTCATGCTTTTTATTTGATAAGACACACCATCTTAAAATCCTTATAATGAAAATTAAATATAAAAAAATAATTCTGAAAAAATTCAGACTGGTGCTTTTGTACTTGAATGGGGTAATCATGGATTTTAACTTCAGAACATTAAGATGGTGCAAAGATCATGGGAAAGGAGAAGCATCAGCAGTTAGATTAGGTTCCAGCCATTCCACAACCCCGTCCCATGTTCTAAATCTCCCTCCAAGCCACTCTGTATGGTCTGCATCCCAAATACTGAATTTCTTCCCATTGATAGTTGGACGTGAGTTAATGTAAGAAGTTACTGAGTGCTATTTTTCTAGTCAACATGCCAGATGAAAACTTCTCCACCATGACTCCAAATTCTCTTTCAGCTTAGGTCACCCACCTTCTCTCCACTCCTTAGGTGCCATACAAACTTATGGTTGATCAGAAAGCCTTTTCTTTGAGATTCCATTTAAAGCATATCAATGAGGAAACCTGTGGATCACATTTCTATCAGCCTCTGTCAGTCCTAGCAAGCGTCAATTCTGTTTCCTTTTATGCAGTTGCCCAGATTTTTTAGTTCAGCAGTCAAATTGTTGTTGTTGTTAAGTGCTATTGAGTCAACTGCGACTCAGCAATCCTATGCACAGTAGTGCTGAACTCTGCCCTATTCTGACCCAATCTCACTGTCTCCAACACATCTACCCCTGTGACTCCAGTTACTGTGTCAATCCATCTCATCCAGGGTGTCTTCTGTTCCTCCACCCTTCCAAGCATGATGCCCTTTTCCAAGGACTACTTCCTCCCAGAAAGATGCCCAAAACATGTGAGGTGGAGCTTTACAATCTTTGCCTCCAAGCAGAAACTTGGTTTCACCTTCTCCAAGACAGACGTTTTATTCTCCTGGCAGTCCACAGTATGTTCAATGCTTTTCTCCAGGACTACAACTCAAAGCCATTCTTCTTCTATCATCCTTAGTCATTGTCCAGTTCTCTGATGCATAGCATGTAACTGAGAAGATCATGACTTGGATCAGGCACACCTTAGTCTCTAGACTGATATCATTACTTGTCAGCATTCTAGAGAGGTCCCTGATAGCAGATTTTCTTACTACAATTTGTCTTTTGATTTCTTGACTGCTGAAGCCAAAAATGTTGAGCAGTCAAGTAGACAACAGGAAAAAGAACTCAGAATGGTTCTACTGATTGAAGATCCAAGGTAGCAAAATCAAAACGACAATCTCAGTCAGGCTACGGGACACAAAAGATAATAAGTGTCACCTCTAATTAAGACTAGAAGGCCTTCCGAAAATGGATGACTTTCTGAAATGCTTGCCGAAACTCTTCATTAAACACAGTGTAGATTATTGGATTGATGAGGGAATTTAAATAGCCTAGCCAGGTGAAGAAGTCAAAGATAGCTTGGTGGAGCCAGCAGGAGTCCCGGCAGATGGGGAGGACCAAGGATGCAACAAAAAAGGGCAACCAGCAGACAATAAAGGCCCCTAGGATGATCCCCAGGGTTTTGGTGGCTTTCTTTTCTCGAGCTGCAGAAATCCTCTTGCGCTCCAGGACGCTATCAGCGAGCTTAATTCTCACGTGGTTGAAAAAGAGAGGGGAGCCAGCCGAATGAGAGTGCCCCTCGTGGAGGCTGGGACTGAGGGAGCAGACTGAGGACCCTGCAGAACCTGTGATAAGGTGGGCTGTGGTGAAGCGCTTCCCATAGAGTGATGGTGGATTCAGGATGTGGTGTCGGGCAGCCACGTAGATCCTGCCATAGAGGATGATAAGCAACACTGACGGGATATAGAAGGCCCCACATGTTGAGTAGATGGTGTAGGAGATCTGGGAGGTGTTCACCAGGCAGTCAGACATCTCTTCATGAGCTTTGGCCTGTCGCCAGAAGAGTGGTGGGATGGAGATACAGATGGAGATGACCCACACAATGGCAATCATAGCAGCCGCGTGGCCCACTGTCCGGCGTTTGCTGTACTCCAGGGCATCAGTGATGGCCCAATACCTGTCCAGAGCAATGGCACAGAGGTGCAGGATGGATGCTGTGCAGCACGTGATGTCAGAAGACAGCCAGATGTCACACAGGATTTGGCCAAAGCTCCAAGTGTGGGTGAGAGTATACACAATGCTGATGGGCATGACCAAGATGGAAACCAAGAGGTCAGTCACAGCCAGGGAGCCAATGAGATAGTTGGCTGGGGTGTGGAGCTTCCTGGTGAGGAAGATGGTGGTAAGCACAAAGGCATTTGAGACGACTGTGGCCAATGTGATGATGGAAAGGACCACGGCAAGACAGATCTTGAGTGCTAGGAGGCTCCCTGGATCCCAAGCACCTAGGGTTTCTGTTGCATTCAGGGATCTGTTGGAACTCTCCTGGAGAAGACCTACCTCTGGCTGGCTTGGTGGGGGCATTCTAGGTGGCTCTTTCTTCCCACACACTTTCGCACACACAGCAACTTCTTTCACAGGTGTCCTGCCCACCAAACAAGGTCATCCTTTTGCCTCACACTGGTGGAAGCCGTACATCAGAAGAACCCTGGTGAAAGGCCCTCAAGACTTGCTTATTTAAAGACTACTGTGGTGACTACCAGCTGGTACTTAAAAGTCTTTCACAAAGCACATGACGCCTCCCTGTTCTAGAACTCTGCCTGGTAAATGGTCCTTGCCAGAGGACATAAGCTTTATTTGTCAGACAATTATCAAGGTATCACATCAGTGTCGCTATGTTCTGAGATTCTTGCTTTTGGCATTCTGGGTTCTTTTTGGGGCTTGAGACACAAGTATGTTTAATGAGAATATGAAAACTCCTTTCATCCTAGTCTGAGAAGATTCTCAAATTCAAGGTGCCTCTTGGGAATATTGAAAGCTTAAGAGAAAGGGAAATAGTAGCTGATTTCTAGGGGCAGTCTCACTTTCCCGGGTTCATCTTGATACATGACGAGGGACTTAACCTGAGCCCCTATTTAATAGAGAGTTTTGAGTCTGAACAGATAAAATATTCTTTGTTACCAAGACTTGAAGAACATATGGGCTGGGAAAAGGCAAAAGATCACTGTGAGTTCACCGTGATGGGCATGTCCTCAGAAGCTCTGGAATGTGAAAAAGAAAGAAAAATAGAGAGTTAGGTTCTAGAAGGACCAGTTGGATGCTTGACATTAACCACAGAATTAAAAGGACATTTTAGCTTAATGCCATTCTCCAAAATGTCAAGACAACCACCAGGAGGGTGATGTCTCTCACCCCCACAATTCCCAAAGGGAGTGAAGTATCACAACTGCTGGAAGTCTCACAGGTTTGTGACAAGTCCATGAAATCAGCTCTCTGTGAATCAGAAATATTCTTTCATTTAGTCAGCAACAATGGGAAGAGAACAAAATAAAACTATGCAGAGTAAACACACTAAGAAAGACACTGTACCCACAGCGTCCCTTTTCAGCAGGAAGTAGCTAAGAGAATACGCCATCCCCTTTTCCTTATGAATCAGGGTGAAGTCTCTCTCAGGGAGGAGTGATAGGGAATGGCAAAGGGCACACTGACAAAGGAGATTAATCAGAACTGGCTTTGACAAGCACTGTGGCAACTGGACAATTAAAGCAGACATTCGGGGTGGGGGAAGAAGAACAAACTGGGGAGGAGGGTAGAGAAAACAGTGCAACAATGAATGAATGAGAACACAAAATCTCTGTAAATGTTCATTAAAACTAATAAAATTTAATAATAATTTAAAAAAAAGAAATACACTATTGTTACAATGCATCTTTTTTTATGTTGAAGCCAGTACTTTAATATATTTTTAATTCATTGTTGCACATTTTCTCCCCACTCTAACCCACTGAGCAGTGCACCCCTTGTTCCAGATTGCTGTCATACTATAATGTATTGCTCTAAGAAGTGTGTGTGTGTGAAATTTCTTCTATTCATTGAAATATTCCAATTTTTCTATCGTGAACATGCATCACTCTCAAAGTCAAACAAACAGACAAAAAAATAGAAACAAATGCACACATGTTTGTGTTTGTGGTGGTGGTGCAGCTTTGGACAAGGGGAACAGGGAAGCATTCTTAAGCACTTGACATCTTAAATACACTTATCCCCATGTTTAACAGTAAAGAAAATGAAATCTTCATGTGGAACCTGAATATTAAAATGTCTAAACACATGAAAATAAGACCACATGAGTGGCTTCCTTCACAATTGAGTATTTCTTTGGCTGAGGCACTGATATTTTTTCTTCTCTAAATGAAAAAAAAAAAAAAAGAAAGAACAACCTCTAAACTCTCTAAATTATTTTGTTGCTGTCGTTGAGAATATACACATTGGAACACACATCAATTCAACAATTCAACCCTGGAGAGTCACCTATGAGTTGGTTCAGATTCACCGGCAATAAAGGTTTGATTATTGTCAATTTAATCCCACACAGATGGTTTTTAAAAGGATATAATGTGAAGACAACAAGACTTCTAAAAATGACATCAAACCCCAACACTGACAGTTTTCCCATTAGAATTGGGCATTAAGCATATTAGTGACAAAGAGATAGCATACATGTATTCAGTTATATGGGAAAACCTTTTTTTATTTTTTAGAATTAATTTTAATGAACGTTTACAGAGATTTTGGATTTCCTTACATTCATCGTTGCATTCTCTCTGCCTACCCCGCCCCCTCTTTAGGAAATTTTAAATACAGAATGTATGTGAGTGATTGTTTGAAACCCAATGCGAATGCAGGAATGTGTGAAATGCACATGAATGATATACAAGGTATATGAAATTTGTATGTATGAAATTTGCGAGCAGATATAAAATAAAAATAGAGACGAAAACCAAAAAAAAAAAGGATATAATGCTCAAAGAAGATAATTTGCACCAGTTAATCTAGACTATTGTTCATGTTAAGATTTAAAGATTATCTAAGGACAATCTTTTTTAAGGGGTTCATTGACCTTCTGTGGCTCCAGAAAGAGTAGCATCCATGCATATTTGAAATTCTGTCCCCCACGTTCTTACATTTTCAGAAACTTTTTCTAGAACCTTTAATCAGCAATTGTAGCCAGGCATCCTCCAGTCCTTCTTGTTAATGAAGGCCGTCAGCCACACATTCCACATCCTCCTATTCATGAACCTCCTCCTTCTGTTACTCTAGGTAAACAGAGACCAATTGTTGCCCTTACATTACAAGCTTTTCAGACTCTCAGTGTTAAACAATGAATAAAGAAATAAAACAGAAGCAATGAGTATATTATTAAGCCAATTAATTGGGATGAAACCATGACTCTAAATCTCCACATCAAGGAACCAAATTCTAAGAGGTATACATAAACCACCTCATGAAATCTGTTTAGTCTTTGTTGTAAACATATCATACTTTTGCAACTCAACTTTTTATAGACATATAACTTAATTGAAAATAATTATATAAACTAGTTATGCAAATTTACCCATTATTTGATAATGATTTTTCCATGAACTTGCCTTTTGTCCCTCTTCCCCACCCTTGGTAACCATTAATAAATTTGGTTTCCATATATTTTTCTCATCTTGTTTTTTTATATATGTTTGATCATACAATATAATCCTTTTGTGATTAACTTACTTCAATTAGCATTATGTTTTCAAGCTTCATCCATAATACAGAATGTAAGAACACGCCATTTCTCCTACCGGCTAAACTGATTACACAGAATTCAACGTTTATATGTACCACATCTGTTTATCCACTTATCTGCCAGTGGGAGTTGTTTCAAAAGCACGAGTCTTTTTTAAAATTTTGATTAGAATGAAAGTTTAGAAAATATTTTTTTTCATGAAATCATTCATATATTTTGTTTTATTCATATATTTTATTTTATTTAATGTTATGACATCAACTAACTACAAATAATTAGTTAATGTCATTGTTATTGTGTACCATCAAGTTGGAAACAACTCCTGGCTGACCCTCCAGAGGTTTTTAAAGGCAGTTTAATGGCCCAGGAGGAGATTGACCATATTTCTCCTGTGGAGAAGTTGGTGGATTCGAACCACATGTCTTTGAGATTGCACACAGCTCCTTATCACTAGGGTGCCCTAGCTCCCTTGTTAATGTTATTAATGAATTATAATTAGTTAATGACAATGTATGACCATTCTCTTATTGCATATGCCTTTCCTTTCACTCAACTTATTATTAGGAACCTTTGAGATGAGTACAACTCACAGCAACCCTATAAACAACAGATCTGAACCTTATCCTCTCCTGTGCCAACCTCACAATCTGACACATTCGAGCTCATTGCTGTAGTCACTTTTTCAGTCCACCTGGTTGAGGATTTTCCTCCACCTTTCCAAGCATGATATTTTTCTCCAAAGAATAGCCTCTCCTAGCAACACATCCAAAGTATGTGAGATGAAGCTTCACCATCCTTGCCTTCAAGGAACAATCAATCTGGCTTCCTCCTCTCCAAGACATATCTGCTTGCTCTCTTGGCAGTCCATGGGATATTCAGTACTCTTCTCCAATACCACAGTTCAAAGACATCAATTTTTCTTCTGTCATCCTTATTCATTGTACACCTCTCAGATGCATAGCAGATTATGGAAAAGACCATGGTCTGAACCAGGTCTACCTGAGTCCTCAAACCAACATTGTTGCTCCTCAGTAATTTGGACAGGTCCCTGAGTGCAGACTTCTTCAGTATACTATGTCTCCTAATATCTTGATTTTTCATGCCAAGTGTATTGATTGATTGTAGATCCAAGTAAGATAAAGTCATTGACCAATTCACCCAGCTTAATAAATGTTTATTCTATTTAATTGAGGGAAAGCAATCTCTTCAACAAATGGTGTTGGCAAAACTGGATTCGTAAAAAATTGAAACAAGATCTATATCTCATACCATATACAAAACCAAACTTAAGAAAGATAAAGGATCTAACCATAAAATATAAAACTATAAAGATTAGCATAAAAAATAGGGGTAAATTTAGAAGCCCTAATTTGTGGCACATATAAACCATATATAAATATACTAAAATGCACAAACAGCAGGGTATAAGCTAGATAACTGAAATATTCTAAGAATTAGAGCCCTATGTGCATCAAGACTTCTATGAAAGAGTAAAAAGAGAACCTCCAGATTGAGGAAAATATTCTCATTTCCAAACATACAGAAAACTCCAACACTTTAACTGAAAAAGACAACTCAATTACAAAATGGACAGAGGATATGAAATGACGCTTAACTAAAGAAGACATTCAAAGGAGGAAAGACATGAAGAAATGCTTACAGTCATTAGTTACAGAGATACGCAAATCAAAACAATAAGATTATCACCTCAAAACAACAGCAAAGTTCGACAGGACAGTAAATAACAAATGCTATCAAGGATGTAAAATTGTACGACCAGAATGGAAAGCAGTTTGGCACTTCCTTAAAAAGTTAAAAGTGGAAATATCACTTCAGCCAGAAATTCTACTACTATTACATTTACATCCTACAGAAATAAAAGCTGCAACATGAACAAACTATGCACATCTATGTAAGAGTCCTAAAGAGCAACAACGTCA